TCAAAAATAATTGCGAGAGGCCTCACAATGACATCACCCAGCTCTTTGAGTATTCTTGGATGAATCCCATCATGAAGCCACATAGATACATGAGGATCCAGCTGGAGCAGCAAATGCTGCACAAATTTAGGGTCAGCTGGGAGTTTATCATTCTCCTAGCCATGGTTCTCCAGCTCTGGGCACTGGGACCTTCTAAGCCCATCACCAGTGTGAAAGACACAGGCAAAGAAATCATTAAACATGTCACATGTGTCATGTCACACAAGCGCACAATACATGCACAATGTCAGACTCAGAATGGAAGTTCATATGAATTATAAAAACTGTGGTTTGTAGTCTCTCAGGCTGCATGTTGCCACGTGTATGTGAGAATGTGGTAAGTGGAGCTGCTTGGAGCTCTTTGTAACTTAACATACTCCTAAACTCCTGAGATGACTGTGCTACTCCTGGTACCGAAGCTATTCCTGCTGTCTCCGTATAGTTTTGTATTTTTCTGCTTAAATCCTGGACTCTGAATATGAGTCCATGGATTCATGACTCATGAATCAGATTTCAACATCTGAAAGTCTTTTCAGATTTCTAGATCTGAAAGTCCTTGTTTTATATGCTGTTAGTAAGTGTTGATAGATGGGTGGACACTGCTGAGCTCCCAGAATGGAATCCAAAACCTCATGCTTTCCAGTACTATAGTATGCTTTCCAGTACTATAAGTCAGGGACTATAAATGTCATTTGTATCCTATGTGGACTGCTCTTCTTATTGAATGATTTGGGAAACTGACCATTTCTCAAGCTGTAAGCTCTTGATAGTAATGCTGCTTTAGCAGTGGTTTGTTTGTTGGTTTATAGCAAAGCAAATGCAGGAAGGAAAGCTGTACTGGAGCTCTGGTCTCTAAAAGTATTTTTACCTATCTACCTTTATTAGTTTGGACTTTGGACCTTCCTGTTTACTGTACTAATGTGGATAACAGGGCATTATGTCTTCTGTGCACAGTGTCTTCTGAGCACGCAAGACCTTCAATAACTTGCCTTCTTGGAATCTTTGAAGTAAATATCCTGGCTTTCTACAGCATTTATATATATATATATGCCTTCAATATATTCTAATGGCTGGAGCAATTCTATTAATTGAAAGAAACCATGGAACAGAAACCGTGGTGTCTCCATGACGCCACATTGTGTGTGAAACCACCAAATACAGAATTGTGGGACTGAAGTGTCCACACAGGTCGGGCATGCTACTGTGTGCTCACTAATAGCCCAAACACTGATGCTCTGCATAATTTAGAAGCATTTTTCTTAATGTTACAACATGTTGGGATCTGAAATCCAGTCCTTGTAGGACAGTTTGATGTAATTTGCCTTAGGGTTTCTCCAGGAGAAATACGTGCATTGCTGTAGGAAGCAAAGGGTGTATTATTCCAGTGATCTTCTAGTTTGTTCTCTGTATCCTGCTCATTCTGATTTTGAAACATTTGAGTGATAATAATTTAGGAGTAAAAGTAGTGTCTTTGGTAAACAAATTATCTCAGCGAGGACTCAAATGTTTCCTTCAACATTTTCAGGCCTTACCACCTTGAACAGCATCAAAAAGATCAGCTGTGCTAGTCTCTAGTAACCCAGAATAACTAGCAGAGAGTGGAAGGTTTGATAATGCAGTACATTCTTCTCTCTCACCTTAAAAAAGGAAAACTTCTATTTAGTGATAAACACTAAATAGAATTAATACTATTTTTTGGTAATAAATCAGTTTTAAGTTTAATGTAAAGTGACATTATTCGAGCACACATTTCTAAATTCTAAAAGCTCTCCTACACAGTATTAGAGAAGTTAGAAGGTTTTCAAAATATAAATAAATATTTATGGAAATAGAGTTTCTGCCTAATTTTTTGGGATGAAAAGACAAATAATCTAATGTGCATTATTTCAGCTATGAGACTGATAGTTTCTTTAAATACAGGGTAGTTAATACCCTTTGTTTGACAAGCTCCATGTAAATAGTTTTCTGTTTGGCTGTGACTAAAGTGTGCCCTGAGGTAGGCAACTGAGGGGAAAAGATCCATAGTAGTCCAAAATCAGTGCCCAGGGAAGGCATGGTAGTGGCAGCCTGGGTTGTCAGGCATGGCAGAAGGGCATATACTGTTGGCTTCCAGAGTGACCTGTCAAAGTTTGCTCTACAGCTAGGAGTGTATTGGGCTACCCTACAGGTCTTACTTCAATGGTTTGTGACCTGTATGCACATCAGGTTCTGGCATTTGATTTTGCTTCATTTACATTTCTGATCCAAACAGGTCTTCAGATGCACATTTGTACAAGAGTTTCCTTTCCTCTCCATAGTAAAATCTACCTTTTTTCTCTCCTGCCTGAACTGCTAGAAGTCAAAAGGGAGCATTGGCGTCCACATACCAGCCCTGTCCCTTAGACTTGTTTAAATGTGGGGGCCTTTGCATTAGATACTTAAACTGTAGTTCACACTGGTCACTTGGCAGAATGGCCAAGCTGGATCCAAACACTGTGTACCATGAATCTATATACACTTGTCAACATAACATATATCCCACTTTTTCCTATAGAGCTCCTTGTTCTCACTGTAGAATCATAACCAGAGAGTCATTTAGGCTGGAAAACATCCTTAAGATCATAAAGTCCACCACAAAACCATTTACCTAAGCTCCACATCTCCGCATCTTTTTAAGTACCTCCAGGGATGGGGGCTCAACTACTTCCCTAGGCAGCATGTTCCAATGCTTTACAACCCCTATGGTGAAAAAATTACTCTCAATACCCAATCTAAACTTTCCCTTGCACGGCTTGATGCCATTTCCTCTTGCCCTGTGTCTTGTTACTTCGGAAAAGAGGCCAACCCCTGCCTGGCTACAGCCTCCTTCCAGGTAGTTGTAGAGAGTGGTAAGGTCACTCCCAAGCCTCCTTTCCTCCAGGCTAAACAACCCTAGGTCCCTCAGTCACTCATCATAAGACTTGTGTTCCAAGACCCTTCATTAGCTCCACTGCCCTTCTCTGGACATGCTCAGCCCCTCAGTGCCTTTCTTGTAGTGAGACATCCAGAACTGGACACAGCACTCAAGGTGTGGCTTCACCAGTGCCCAGTACAGGGGGACAATCCCTGCCCTGCTCCTGCTGGCCACACTATTGCTGATACAGGCCAGGATGCCATTGGCCTTCTTGGCCACCTGGGCACAGCTGGCTGATGTTCAACTGGCTGTCAACCATCTTTGTAACTTATCTTTTCACCTGTATTCAAAGTGAAATAAGCAAAAATATCTGCAATCTTCTTTTTCCTTCTGTTTTTAAGATAAACCTGTAACACTCTCTACTGCTGGCCCTCCAACATACAGAGTTGTTAGTAAATGAATGTGATCCAGAAGTTTTCATATCCACAAGAACAGATTCAAAACTTTTGCAGCAATATAGTGCCTTTTGTCCAAAAAGGACAAATTATTTTGGATACTTCATTTACAACTAAAATCTAAGGAATGTTGTTTTGTCTGATATCTGTTTTTCTCATATCATGTTTTCCAAGTAAGCAAGCAGAGGCATAAGAATTTGTATTAACAGTATAATTGAAAATGCATTTCAGATGTTTCATTTCATAATTTCTCTTCGTAGGAAATCTAACTTTCTTCAATAATGCATTTAGTGGTTTGGACCGGCTTCCAAAAAACTATTTTGTAGAAGTGGTACTTAAATAGTGTTCCAGAGACTGCATTAGGTAGAGAGCAGCTGAGGCAGCTAAGTAGGCTCTCCACTCTTTCAGTCCATGAATAGATGAGGTCTCTTCATAGAGGTAGAAATGTAACAATGATAGATAAAATTTCTGCAAATAATATTCTACAAATTCTACAAGTAATAGTTCTGTTTGGTGTAATGCAGGCCAAGATAAAGCTGTTTGTCAAAATTCTTGGTTTATTTTGGGTAGTAGTGTATGTGTATTATCCAGATACAGATTGCAGAACTCTTGTCTACAAACTGTTCCTGAAGAGGAGATTTTAATAATGGAAAGAATTGAATATTTATATTGATGATCAAGATTCAGATAAGTCCTTATTAAGATAAGTCCTTAGTGTATTGCGTAGGGGAAAAGGACACTAAAAGCTAAGTATTAAAAGCCCTTGCACTTGGAAGTAAGCAATCTATTAGGAAACAAGCATGGAAGGAAATTCATCTCTGGATAGGCAGCTTATATCACTGGAGGCTTCCTTACCTCTGCAATTTGTGACAGGGCTTCAATCTGATTTGGAAGTTGCTGATTTCCCAGAAGCATTGGGTCAGATGTTCAGTGTCTCCATTACAGATAAATTGAAAGAAACCCCTCCTAGGTGAGGCACTTCCATTAGGCAACTGTCAGGTACAAAGGAAAACTTAATTTATGTTTGAATTTTGTTACGGGCAACTTGATCTTTGCTGTGCTGTACAAATTTGTTTATGGAGAAGCTTTTTAGAAGCTTTGGAATATGTAATGCAGAGCTTCTGTTTTTTCTCAGCCAACTTTCTAACTTTACCAGTTGGGTTCTTTGTTCCTCTCTCTGAAATCTGTAGACCAGTTGTATTTTGAATATACATGCACAAAAAAAGCCCTGCAAACCCAGAAATATTTTCTTTATGTCATGAATGTTGTGTTATGCAATGCTCATGCATTAAAAATTAAGAAAAACATGGAATAGCAGGGGATGGGGGACTTCACAGTATTTTATGTTCTTACCTTTTACACCACGTTGTGGATTAGTCTTTTCCACTCAGATACCCAAACTTTGGAAAACCTAGAGCTAGATGGAGAGTATCATTGTATTCTACTGATGACCATGTTGGACTTGATTCACGACTTTACATGAGGAGCTGGAGCAAAGCCTTGTGGTAATGACATGAGAAGATGCAGAATCACTAGCTGTATCAGTTTTAATGCTATTTGCAAAAAATACAGATGTTCGATTTTTATATATTTTCCATACCAATAATTTACTTTTTTTCTTTACTTTTCAACAGGATCCACTCTGTGTAGCTATGAACTACAGCCATCAGAATATACTACAGACCCAAGGGCTGCCAAGTTATGTCCTAAATATCCTGTTCCAGAGAGGTAATATGATCATATGTCTGATTTGGGGTGGAGGGAGCGGAGATTTGTTTTGATCATGACAGTTCTTTAGAAAATACCAACACATGTTTACTCTTACGAGGTAGATGTTTTAGTGTATTATTGCATATATTTCTAAAATTTTGGTTTATAAAAGGTAGTGAAAATAACAGTCCAAGAAAAACCCAGATTATCCATGTATGTGTTCCTGAAACTATTGAGCTGATATCTTCAAAGTCTCTTGTCTCATGTGACTGACACTGTTCTAAGTATCAGCTGTTCTACTGCCTTTCACCCTATCTATAGCTGCCTGTCAGCAATACAGATCTGAGACAATCATGGAACATTTTTAATTTTTGGGAGGAAAAATTATGTAGGGATGCACAGTTCTCTGCAGCATTCACTTCTTAGACCTTACCTCAGCCAGTCAGAAGCAATTTGCTTCATTTTTTACTATTTCAGTCAGTAAATGACTAATATAAGGATCGAGTCAAGTACCAATAAGAGGGCTGTATTTTATTAATAGATCACTTTGAGTTTTATTGTTTTAAATGTCACATTAGACTGCTGTTTGTGCAATAGGATTGGAAAGCTCATAGCTTCATAAACTCTACTGGCTATGCTGCCTGGACCTGTGGCTGAGAAAAGAAGTGTTAGCTGTTAGCTGTTGTACATAGCCTTCTGTCAGTAATTGAACTAGCTCGAGAAGAACCATGTTGTGTTTTCTCAAAATTTAGCTTCTCAAATATACTCAGTAATGGGTGGCAACTGCAGAGTCTTTTCTTACGCATAGTTTTCTGTTACGTTTTTTGTAAATGTCATAATTGTGTCAGCTCTACAAGTTCTGATTTTAAGTCTTTCATATACACATGGTAGCCTCTCTGCTGAATCTTTTTTTTTATATTATAGTGACAATTAGTGGCAGCTGGAATATTAACTTTTTTTTTTACTTTTCTCCATAGAGATTAGTATTCCATGCAGGTAGCCAGCTGTTACAGCAGTAATACAAAAACAAATGAAAACTTCAGTGCCAGCTTGTGTACTGAAAAGGCTTGTTAGTCCTAGTTTTTGCCAGAATTATATTGACTTCTCATTGTGTGTTCCCATGTCATTCAGTCTCAATGAATATAGCTTAGTAAGAAAACAGAAGAATAGAACAATGTGTCAGAGCTCTAAATTCCTCGTAAAAACTACCTCATCTTATTTTAAATAAGCTATTGTATAGGTGGAGTATTTCCCCTTTTTGATATGGCATTACTAAAATGTATGATATGTTTGAACATTTTTGAGATTGAAAAGTCTGACCTTAATGCCCTAAGGCAAAAAAGGCCAACACTGTATCTATAAACCACTGCTTTTCTGGTTATTATAGTTAAATTATTTTAGTAAGTGTAATTTGAAGGAGAAATCAAATCAAATCTGTTGAGACAACCAAATGAAAACCCAACAGCTTGTAGACTGAGGCATTCAGGAAAAACTTACCTAACAGTCACATTTGATCTGTGTCGTGATGTAACCCCATCCAGCAACCCAAACCCCCACAGTCAGTCGCTCACTTCCCCACCAGCAGGACTGGGGTGACAACTGGAAGGGTAAAAGGTAGAAAGCTTGTGGGTTGATATAAAGATGGTTTTATAGGGGAAGGAAAGCTACACACATAAGCAAAGCAAAACAAGGAATTAATTCATCACTTCCCATGAAGGCATGTGTTCAGCCATCTGCAGGAGAGCAGGGCCCCATCACATGCAACAGTTACTTGGGAAGACAAACACCATCACTTAAAATGTTCCTTCCTCTTCTTTCCTCCTTTTTATATCCTGTGCATGATGCCATGTGGTCTGGAATATCCCTTTGGTCAGTTGGGGTCACCTGTCCTGGCTGTGTCTCCTCCCAACCCCCCCATGTACCCCCAATGCCCTTGCCAGCATGGCCATATAAAAGCAGGAAAGGCCTTGGCTCTGTGTAAGCCCTGCTCAACCATAACGAAAACTTCTCTGTATTATCAGTCCTGTGTTCAACACAAATGCAAAACAAGCTCCATACCAGCTACTGTGAAGAAAATTAACCCTACCCCAGCTGAAACCAGTACAATCTGTCAAGCGTTATGAACCCTCTGATTCACATTAGTTCCATGGTATGGAGGTAGCATATGGTGTGAAAATGGTCCCTTGATGTTTTCTGTTTGATGACCAGGCTTCTTCACAGCCTTCAGCTGAGGCTGTCAGTGGCCTCCTACTATCCATCTTCAAGGTATTATGTCCAACTTTGACACAGCAGTACAGTCTAGCAGTGCAGTTAGCAATATGTGTTTCTTCCTCACCCAGCCTATATCAGCCTCTGTAGAACATGACTGCATGTTCAGAGGACCCTGGAGGAAAACCCATCCAGTCCCCTGCAGCATTTATCTATAAACCAGCTGTGCTGAGCTGTGCCAAGGGACTGCCCTGTAGTAAAGAGCAGCTAGCAGTGGCATTTTGATCAGACTCCCCCTCCTCTTATACAGGTTGCCATACTACTCCTGTACATACACAGGGGAAGTGGTTAGAGGAAAAAACTCTTTGAAATCTAATACTTGAGTAATCAGATAGATCTTCTAACTTCATTTGAATAGTGCTTTGAAAGTACAGCTTCTGACACCATCATCAGCTGGCTTGCACTTTATTTCTTGTTTATGATTAAGCATCATGCTTGCTATTCTTAGAAATTTGTAACTCTTTTACAGAAGATTATATACCAAGATATAATCAAGAGTTCATATAAAATAGCAGAGGTCATGGAGCATAGATGTCTTATTGTGGTTTTTATTAGGACACTTTACCTCACTTACTCATTCAGTCAGAACCACTGGAGCAGAACCAGATCTCAAAAGCGGATTCTCAGGAGTCCCATTTACTCAAGAAAACTTGTAGGAACCACTAACATTTTTTTTTTTTTTTTTTTTTTAATTAAAACAAACTTAGCAATTAATTACTGGACATGAAAATAGGTAACTTAAAATAGGTAGTGAAATTACTTTAGGTTAAGGAATATTAGATGACTGATATAAACTCTGATTCAAAAAGCGTGCTTTCTTCCATTGGGATGTGTTTTGGAAGAACACTTTAATCCTGTTAGTGTCCTTTTTAAAGTGAATATTTTTGTATTTGTATGCAGGAATAACATTCTTTTGCCTACTCCCACCTTAAAATCTGGACTTTGTTACTGGCAGCAACAACTTATAAATGCTGTAGGCTTTCTGTAAAGTTGTAGCAGTTAACAATTAAATAAACCTTTCACATTTCAGTCTTATGCAGTAATACGGCATATAATGAGCAGCAGTATCCCAAAATAGGTTATGTTTTAAGAGACTAAGAGGATACACGGGCTACCTTTTAAGTAGGGTACACATCATTATGGGTTTAATTTGTTTTTTAACAACTGTGATTAATGTACAATTACTTGGCTGTGCTTAACTGCTGTATTCTTTACTACCCAAAAGTACACCATCAATGTGAGCATCTCCAAATGCATTTACCTACTCAGCATAATAATCCTAGAACCATAAAATTGGCAATCATCAGTGACTTTAAACAAAAACCCAGGGTCTACTAATTACCTAGAAATGGCAGGTGATCATAATTTCTCACGATTTCTTTACAAAGTATTTACACATTAATGGTTTTCAGCATGTCATCCTTTTTCTCCAGAAAAACAGTGGATGGGAAATATGTGCCTAAGGCAGCTGGTTTATTCACTGTGTGTTTAAAGTGGTGGTTAGAATTTTAGAAAGACATGGCCTTAAAGAAATAGTTATTGAGGGCCAAAATAGGGAAACTGCAGAAGATTACATTCATTGCTGCTACAGTCTACTGAAATCTTTTAAGTTAGGAAGATTGGGCAGGTGAAACAATAGAAAAGATTTTTTTTTCATTGTATCCAATTACAGGAAGGAACATGTAATTCATGTCTGAAATGTAATTGGGAATTGATCAAATGATGTAATAGGCCACTTCTGAGATCTGACATAGTTTATGAGCAAGATAGACTGCTACTAAATGGGAGACATTTAGAAAACAAAATTACCCACTTCTAAAGGAAAGTTTTTGCTCTCTTGTATCTTTCTCTGACAGACTTGACAGCAAATTTTTCAGAGCTAAGTTTAGTGCGTAGTCTCAATAGTTTTTTGTGAGAGTGTTTCCAAAATGTTTCAAAGCAATAGAGGCATCCTGGCATGTTTTGCTTTAGTTTAACAAAGTTAATGAATATAAACACTGTGATTCTTATATTCAATACAAGAACAAGCTTAGTATGGGGAAAGACTAGGAATAAATACATTGGTTTTGCTGGGCAGCAGTTGTGAATGCTGATGTCCTTTAGCGCAAAATTTATACTCTCAAGAAGAGTATTGTTATTCTGCAATTTCTTTTGCTGCAAACACGGACCAGTATTCCATTCTAAACTGAGTGAAAGGCATTGTTTCAGCTGCTGGTTCAGCACCTGACACTTGAAAGAAAGACATTTAAATGGAAATAGGAACATACACTTTCTGCACCTTGTCATTTAGGGGTGGGAGGATAATAATATCCTGTTGGAATGTACACTCCAGCCTCACAGGGTTATTTGTAAGAACTGCATCACTTTCCATTATGATCATCCTCATTTCAGCGGCACTTGTGCATTCAACACATGGTTTCTGGTTATGATGTTATACGGGTGGAATGATTGCATCTATTCACCTTTCATTTGTGTGTTGATGTGGCATTTATATTAAGTAGGAGTAATTTTTTTTTCTGATTTTTTTTTTCTTGTGTCACCAGTGCACCTATTCCATTCTTCCATCGCTGTGCTCCTGTGAACATTTCCTGCTATGCCAAGTTTGCAGAGGCCCTGATCACCTTTGTCAGTGACAGTAGTGTCTTACACAGGCTGATTAGTGGAGTTATGACCAGCAAAGAGATTATAATGGGACTTTGCTTGTTATCACTAGGTAATTGTTTTTCTCATTACTAGCTATTTCTTAGTGTACTCCATTAGGAGATTGTTAACACACTCTAACCACAGTCTGAGCAAAAAGCATGTATAATAGCAACAATCCCTTAGAAAATTATTCAGAATGCTTTTTAAAAATTTTATTTGAGAGCTGAGTGACTTATTCATAGGTAATATACATATGCATTCCTGGTTTTGTTTCTCTTATACTGATTATGAGATAGAGGATGCATGGGTGTTAATTAGCCAACATTAGTTTTGATATAGTTAAGGGAGCATCCGCTTTTTCTTAGTTTTTATTATAGTATGCCCCTTTCCCATTTCTAGCAGTCATCTTTGACCAACTTGAATCCAAATCAACCCTTTCCAAATAAAAGGACAGGTTGAGAAATGCACAATAGCACTTGTTGGATGTAGGGGATTTCATTTTTTTCGTTTAACAAACTTGCACAAAGATGAGAATTTTAATAGTGAAAAGAAGGAAATTAGGTGTCCATTTGTTGCATGGTATGTTACCTCCTTCTTCCCTTTCCTTCAAAATTAAAAGTTTCAGGTCTTTGAAAATCTCAGCCTTTGAGAGCTGGAAATTCTCAACAATACAGAGGTGCTGAATTGTTTCTGTAGCTGTGAGATGGCTCTAGGCTATAGAGTGACACTTAGCGCTAGGCTGAAGAGCTGTTATAACGAAGTCATGTTGTTTGAGGTGGAATGTTGCCCACCGACATAAATTGCTTTCCTAGTGAGTCTGTTTTACTCATACAAGGTACAAAATCTGAAATCCTAAAATGGGAGGATTGAGATATTAGCTATGCATATGAGCAGTGTATTGTTTACAAAGAAACACTGCAAAGTTGTATCAGATATAGGGGTCCTTTGCTTTCAGTTTGCTTTTGTGGTTAAAAAAAGGGGTGGGGGAAGGAAGGGAAAAAGAAAGGAAAAAAGAAGACGGTAGATACCATTAACCCCCCCATAAACACACACAAAACCACTGTGTATGTTTTCAACTGTAACTGGAAAGCTGTTTATTTTTACATCTTGACAGCTTCAGTATTTGTTAATGGTAGAAAATCATTTGGAATCTGAAAGCTAGTGGCTGATTCACAGTGCTGCTGTTCAGCTAGAGTCAGAAAGTAGTACAGAATTTACATACAGTTAATTTTAAAAATAGCTTTCATAATTTCCTAGTTAAACAGAAAACCATTAGTTTTCATAGTTAAAATAGTGAACCCACTATTGGGTGGGTTGTGAATAGTGAACCACTATTGACTGTGATTCAAAAAGCTAGATTCCAGTGGTTTGCATGTAACTGCTGAACACAAATGTGTATGTGTTAAAATATGAGTATGCACTTGTATACACCACTCACTTAGCCTTAGCTGTCTGTATAGTTTTTTACTTATGACTGGCATGACATTTTGGAATACACCGATATCATATTAACTGCCCTTGTTTGACATGTGTATTTGAGTGCAGACTCTGCTCTGGTCCTCAGGAGGTGTGCTCATGTTACCAGACTCAATGTACTGTCATGTCTTGCTGTCTGTTTGGTCATTGTCCAAGTACATGTCTGTCTGTATGCACGCATAATGTCTTGTGTTTAATATATCATGTAAATGTATTTATGCTCTCTTTGTTTTAATCAATATTATCAAAGCAGAAGTTGTAGAGGTGCCTGATTTTCCTAACTATCTATTCCGTGAGTCTGTAAGTCTCAAAACCAAATGTCTAAATATTCTGTTGGAAGGCAGTTATCTTAGTAACTTAGTGGGAAAATTAGGAATGCTGTATCTACTTTTGAAGTAATTAGTCTGCTTATATTGTTTGTCTTCTTTTGCAGTGTTGTCCATGATTTTGATGGTTATAATAAGGTACATTTCAAGAGTACTTGTCTGGATTTTAACAATTCTTGTCATTCTGGGATCACTTGGTAAGTCTTGTTTGTCTCCCAGTTTGAATGCCCAGTTCTAATCCTTGTGCTCCATGTCCTCAGCCCAGCTACATCGCACACAGATCTTGGATCATGCATTTCCCCACAGCCTTTTTTTTTTGCGTCCCTTTCAAGATGCACATCAAAAATGCCACCTTAGTAATTGCAGATCTCTCTCAGAGAGTACATTGCTCCTTGAATATTTGCACACCCTGCTTGGCAAGCAGTCTTCATGTCTGTGTAGCTCACTAGAGCCCACAACTGTTACTGCAGCAGATTCCTCACAGCACAACACTTAGTACAACCCTAAATGTTGCCTACTTCTTAACCTGCCTTCCAGACAGGTCAGCAAGGCAGCTAAGCATGGATGTGTCTGATGGCACTCCCACATCGCAGCTGGTGCATGAAGAAATCAAAGGGCAGCTATTGCTTATGCAGCTGAATATATTTACAGCTCTGACATGTTCATCAGCCATCAATTCTTTGAGTAGCTCTTTAAGATGTGTTCTTGAAGAGAGGAAGTAAAGATGCTTGTCTAGCAATTTTTAATAAAATCCTTGTATTTCCATATGACTCAGGAAGAGCTGCATGACCTAGATCATGTGTGAAATGCAACCAGCCATGCTGTCTTGGAAATGACCAAAGGTTGTCTCTTCCAAAGTGATGTAGTTTATGGGAAAACAGCCTTATTTTATCATACTAGCTTTTAAATTCATAAAACTAAAGTTTTCTACACTTACTACTGACCAGCTAAGCCAAAATTTCTGGGCAGATGACTGTAGGGAAGGAAGAAAATAGAATAATCATATTAGGAAGCACTAGTGATTTAATTCTTGCAATTCATGACTGCAATGGATGGATAAAATCAGCAGACTATATATTTTCCAGGATCACTTTGGTTTTCTGATTAATGGCCTCACAATCTATGACCAGGGAAAGGAAAAATATAGAAACAGGATATTTTTCATTTATATTCTCTTTAGAAGCTGAGCAACTATGTTGAGTGAAAGAGATGAATGCCTTATCTTACTGGTATCTATTACTATGTTCTATGTTCTAAAAAGTTTCATTCATTACATGGCTTGAATAAAAAACTGTCTTTTGTGACATTCCTGCTTATTCTGTCTTGACTGCTTGTTTAGGAGATGTCAAAAGAGATTCTTCATTCTAGACCTGAACATGGTATGTTCAGCAAAAACATGTGATCACAGAATCACAGCATGGGTAAGGTTGGAAGGGACCACAGAGGTTCATCTGGTCCAACCTCCCTGCTAAGCTTCTGCATTTGATTCAGAAATACCAGCAGAACAGAGAAGTACACTTAAAAGAGAAAAGAAATGTATCAGAGAGGAGAGGTTATCTCCCTGAGGGGCTGGAGACCTTTGTTAAGAAAAATTCTACCTTGGAAAAGCAGCTAGAGTAGGAGAAAGAAAGAATGTTTTTCTGGCCATAAGGCTAGGATTAACATGACAGAGGTGAGAAGATAGTACCTCACATTGTCTTTACCTCCTGTGCCTTTTATGAGTGCTTTCTCCAGTGTCCAAGATACTGTCTGAAGCAAGTTTAGCTACATATTGTTAAGGTGCTGTTTCCAGCAGCAGGCTGATGTTTGTTGTTTGCATTAGTGTTCCCAGGAATGGCAGACTCCTTGTTTCATTTTTCTTGTTACTTCACATCCTAATCCAAGGTCCATCTCTATTGCCCCTCCTAAATTCTTACTCCCTGCATTGTTATACACACGTACACATTCATATGTACAGCCTACAACAGAACCATTTATTCTTCCTTTTGTTCTTTTATTACTTGACTAGTGGGAGCTGTGCTAGTCATTGTCAGGGCTCCCCATGAAGTAGTCCTTCAATGCAGTTTACCCTAAAACACAGAGTCAGTGTTCTTCAAGTCTCTTAAGTGGTCATAGTATGGTGAGACTGAAAAAGAGTACATTCACTTGAGAAGAGGGCAACAGAGGAGAACTAGATACTTCTCCTCTCAAGTTGCTGTTGGGTTGAGCATCAGTGCTCTTGAGTATTAAGTACCAGACTAGATTTAAAAGGGAAGAACATCTTTATTTCTCTGTGACAAGGTAGTATGTATCATACAGAAGATGAAATATTCATTTATCCTTTTTCTTACTAAAACATAGGTGGTACAGGAGTCCTGTGGTGGCTCTATGCTAAACAGCGAATATCTGCTGGTGCTCTTGAGACCCAGATAGCCAAAGACAATCTTCAGGCTCTCTTGATCTATGCCATTGCAGCCACAGTCTTCACGGTATGCTTTGCTAATGATTGTATAATTTTCTTGTTTTTTCTGTTGGTCTCTATTTTTTTATTCAGGTGAAAGCATTGTATTGCACACATTCTGGGACAGTTTTTCTACCACAATTTCTGTTGAAGTGATTTTTTTTCATTATGTTATTTTTTAAACTTTCAGGAATTGTTCTCTAACACCTGATTATGAGCCAGGGGAGACTTTCTAGGAACTGTTGTCTAATATCTGATTTTGAGTCAGGAGAGAATTTCTAACCCTGCAGCTACTTTTATCTACTGTAAAATGTCCACAGGGACTTCCCAGAATAGGTATGATATTGGATTGCCAATCCAAAGAGATTTTTCTTAGGTTCTCAGTTCAGAGGTACTTAGTAATTTCAGTGTATTTAAAAGTCCTTAGCCTACTTCTGAAAGAAGTTATACTCAAATCATTGTGAACTGAAATACTAACAGCAGTTGAACCAATTATCTTCTTTGGGCCTTGCTGTTAATTTCAGGGTCACTGAATTTACTACCAAAAATTGACAATTTTTGACTAACTTTGCAGGAATTGTAGACTCCCTCTTCTGTTCTTGTTGCTTCACATTCTAATCCAAAAGTTTCTCTCCATTCTCTCTCCTAGATTCTTACTCCCTATGTTATTATACACATATATACACATACATCTTATAAAACCACCACGCCATGGTTAGATAAAAATTTTAAATTATCTTTTTTAAAGGTAATTAAAGGTTAAAACTTGCTGATTTTACTTCTTTGTAAAACATAATGGATCTTATCTCATAAGCTTAAAGCTGATGATGATTCCAAATACATAACTATGAGAATGAAATTCCCCAAAAGTATAATTTGAAAAATAATTTATTACCAGAAGAAGCTGATAGAGGTTTTACATTTTGATCTTGTGATGTTAAAGTATGTTTTAACTTAGTGTGTTTGAATATCCTAGCTGTGCAAAATAGTATCCTGATTCTGTTTCAGTACTCTAAAATGTGATTTGGAAACTTTCCCCTCTAGGTTATCTTGTTCTTGATCATGTTAGTTATGCGCAAAAGAGTAGCTCTCACCATTGCCTTGTTCCACGTGGCTGGCAAGGTCTTCATACACCTGCCGCTGTTAGTCTTCCAGCCATTTTGGACTTTCTTTGTGCTTATCCTCTTCTGGACATACTGGATCACAGTCCTGCTTTTTCTTGGTACTACAGGTAAGCAGTCACTTACTTTAAATAAATTTCACTTCATTTTTGTATGATTTCAAGTAGTTGACTAAAAAGCCTCTGAGAATCTCAAAGAAAAAAGCCCACTTGTTGTGCTTCTATTTCTGTCTGCTTCACTGACTTCAGAACACTTGTTTAAAGAAGGTTATTGTACATTTAAGTCTTCATTCCCAGCATGGTACTTTATGCATTAGGCTGGCTTTTTGATTTGATACAAGTTGGCTTGCTGCAAACCTTGAGACTCTATTAATAAAACTGCTATAGCATTTTTTCAAATAATTCCCTCTAATTTTACACACACAAGTTAAAGACAGCATAATCGTGGAGTCACCAGGTATTGTAGATGGTACTCACACAGGTGAGTACACAGTAAGGGAAGGGCCATTGCACACAATTACTGTCTCCCACAGTGTAAATATTGTGATTTTAGTTTTCAGTGGTTTGTAACTTAGGTGCCCAGTATCATTCCTGAATCATGAGGGAGATTTTTCTGCTGTTTGTACACTGTGTTCTGAGAGCAGCCATGTACTCCTAATTCCTGCTTGCTCTTCAGTATATAGAAGGTAAAAGCTTTGTTTGTATTCAGGGTCTGACAAGAGCTTCTAGAATTAATCAATCCTATAGGTATAAAGGTCTAAATCTTACTTATTTCAGCTAAAAAATCCCACAGCAGATGCTTTTTAAAAAGTCTGCTATTTTGCAGTACGTTGTAGACAGCAGAGACTGTCACAAAGCTATTTAGCAGTAATACAAGATAAATATTTTTCATATCCTGAGCTCTTAGCAAGTGTTGGAGGCAATAGAATTCATGTGTTTTTGTTCTCATTACTGTTGGAATTTCTAGTTTTCATTGTTTGCTGTGCTATGCGCAGAAAATGGTCACCACTGAAAGTCTCAGCCCTGTGCTTCACTTTCTGAGTCAGACCACTGCACAGGCACTAAATTTGTAGCAGAATGTAGTCTGATATTACAGCTAATCTTTCTTAAGAGCAGTCTTCCTAAACATGGCATTTAAAACTATGAGTAGAAACTAGAGGGCTTTCTGCTGTAACTGGTTATGAACTGCTACCATATGATTCCTTCATTATGAGTTGATGTAAGCATCATTTTCTTTTTTACTCTCATTTATTTCTAGGTAGTCCTGTCCCAAATGAAGAAGGATTTGTTGAATTTCGGATGGCAGGTCCTTTGAAATACATGTGGTGGTACCATGTAGTGGGACTCATCTGGATCAGCGAGTTTATCTTAGCCTGTCAGCAGATGACAGTAGCAGGAGCTGTTGTGACATACTATTTTACAAGGTAAGAATAACTAACATAGCTCTATCATGAGCAGCCTCATTGACTTAGCAGAAGTAATGAGCAGCAGGGTTTCTGGAGGGAACATTTGTGTCCATTGTGAAAGCAGGGGAACAGTTAAATTGCCTTGACTCTAACTAAATCATGTGAAGTTCTGAACTATCTGTTTTGCAATTTATAGACAGTGTTCTTGACATCTAAGACTTGAAGTCTTATTTGCCTTGTAACCTGTGCACGTTCTACAGACATGGATGGTAGCGTACAAAGCAGGATGTGCCTAGAAGGTCATCTGTTTTGCTAATAATTAATGCTGGTAAGATCTGTAGAGGCTAAAAAAATAATGAAAGCAATTGATTATTATTTTAATTGCAAAACAGTGCCCTTTAAATTATTTACGGTGCTTCACTTACCTTCATTAATCTTTCTTTCACAGGATTACTTAAGATCTTATTAGATTCATCATTTAATTATAGATTCTGACAAGATCATATACAAATAATAATTCTTGTAAAATTTTAAAGCTCCGTATTTCATTGCTGTATTTGTGAACTAAATTCTGTATCAGTTTTTTTAATAATGTATGCAGATATTTTTCAAGTGCGTGATTCGGATCACAAATGTTTAATTGGTTTGTCTTTTTAATTGAGGCTGTTATCTGAACTACATTTGACTCCTTTTCTGCCCTACTCTTAAAACAACAAAAGCAAGGAGTCAGTTTATTGTGGTGTCAGAAATTTTGTTATTTTATTAATTATGAAGTTCTCCAGTATACCAATGAAATACATCTATGAAGTTATTACAAGATGTTACAGGGATGTAATCTTGTGAATAATTAAACTAGATTGAGTATGGAATGAGGAAAATACAAAGGAAAGAGAACAACTCTGCATTGAAATAGATTGCTTAGCAACGTGTATGCTTCATCTGTAAGTTTATGTATTTCCTGTTACCTGAGGGTAAATTATTTTTATTTTATCCATGCCCTATAATTCTATAACAGAAATTTTATTTTAAGTTAGTAAATACTCATTTCTCTCTTCTGTTATCTTTTTTTACATTTTAACATACAATCATAATTTGAAAAGTGACTTATAAAAATGGAAAATGCATTAATTTGCACTTAGCCATTATTTTGCATATGAGCAGCTTTCCGAGTCAAATGAGGTGAGGTTATCCATGGAGAAATGTTTTATACGTGTTCACTGCTCATTCACCTTAGCCAGATGGATTCCTTTCAACTCAGGCAATAACAGGCCTCAGAGTGTTTTCATACAGACTTTGCCCTGAAAATGAGGAAGTGTTTGGGTTGCCTCGGCATAAGATTCAAGCAATTTATGCAATTGTGCCTAGCAGGGAGTAAAATTTGTCTTCCCAAAAGCTAATTGGAAGAAAATACAGGGTAAACATATTTTAATCATTAACATCTCAGGATTACATGATGCAGATATTCATTTCATGGAATGAGGAATCTACTTTTGGTTTCTTTTCTGAATTACATTCTCATCTTTTCCAAGCCAGGGAGATCCTTTATTTTTTGAATGTTAGCACATGTTTCTTAATATGCTCATTATCATGCTATTATTTCTAATAAAGAAGAAGAGCTGTGCTTTAAATGTTTAATTAGTGTTACTCTTTCAGAGAGATGTGTAAGTGAGTTTCTTGGTAGAAAAGAAAAATGGCTTGAAACTGTGAACATGAGTATTTATCTGATAAATAAAAAATACTATATTTACATTGCATTAAATAACTTGTTTTAAGGCTCAACCCTTGGTACCTTGAGGATATAATAGCTAAATCAGAAGTGCAAAAAATCTGAGCAAAGACCTTACCTGATCAAATAGTAACATTCTCTCCAAAGTCTACACAAAGATCTCCAAAAGAACAAGAGAGAAGACAAGTTTTTTGTAGTCTGACTAAAAAAGTATTAGCACAGTTTTTTTACTGTTTTGGAAGATTTTGAATTGCACACTATCCAATGCAACTTTATGGGAATTTCCAGTTGTGAACAGTGGTAATGCAGCCAACTGCTAGTAAGACTACCTCTCACCAATGAGTGTTTTTTGATTACTCAGAGAATCACCAGTCAAGGTACTGGCAAAAGCAGGTTAATATAGAAGTTAAAGTGTGACAGAGTTCATTGACAACATTCACTCTACTACTTAGTGGATGATTAAAGCACACTTTAAAAAGGAAAAGTAGGACTAAAATCAATTAATCTAAAATAAAACCTAAAATTATTTATGTGGAAGCTGGGGATAGAAAAAGGTTAAGGATGAGAAAAGATAAGGATCAAAAGGAATGAGGGAGACTCTCTCATTGAATCACAGGAGTAAGAGTGGGGCCCCATGCCACTCTTAGCCCCAGACTTGGCCAACAGTTTAGGCCTAAAGAGTAAAACAGCACGTAATATCACTTAATAGCAGAATTTAACGAACTTAACAAAAGAGTCTGTGGAATTTACTATGAGCACAACAGTAACTTAGTTACTTAAACCTGACTTACCAATGTAACATTCATAGTACATTTACTGAAGCACATTCACACTCACATGTGTAGATACAAGGTGTAGACCCATCAGAACTTCTCTCAAGTTCACTGAAATGCTCAGGTCGGATGCCTCTGCACCTTCTCAACAGGTGAAGGGCTGAGGCTTGAGGAGTGGGGTGTCAGCCCAGGTTCTGTTAGCAGCATTTGATGTTGGTCCTCTGAGTATCGCAGACTTGAGTGTTCAGTGGCTCAGAGAAGTCCCACTCAGAGGGAGGTGCTGGTCATAGCCCACTGTGGTCCAGTTTAAGGGGTTGCAAGAGAATTGGCTTTAGTCGTAGTAATTTTCTATCCTGTCCACAGTTCAGGTCTGTAACGTGATTTGAAAGTTCAGTAATAGAAATGTTGTTCTCCCTGTTGATGATTGGGCACAAAAAACAAGTTCATGTTTTTTTAAAAAAACAGGACAAGTTCTTGGGAGCAGACCATGTTTCTAATAAATTCAAGAAGCTGAGCCCAGGTGTTTGTCAAGACAAGGGTCTACGAAGCATTTCTGAGATCATAACGCAGCCCAAGGCAGGAAGGGGCAAAGGGGATGCACCTACTCATATGTGTTATGAATCGATTTAAACACAGAAGAGCAAAGACAATTAAGTTTCTGTGAATAAAACGGATCAACCCCAGAAAGGTTCGAAATATACTCCAAAACTTGATTAAAACCAGAGATTAGATGTTGGTGCTAAAAAAAAGTTGATACATTTTCTTTGATAGTAAAACAGGCAAAGGGAAAGAAACAGAAAAAGAAATATGTAGAAAAAGAGCAGAGAGAGGAACAGGGAGAGGGACAGGGGTTAGGTAGAGACATACCATCCTTCCAAGGATCCCAGTGACATCTCGTGGCTTCCCGCCATCTGGTCTTCTTGGTGGTGAGGGTTCCCCACACCTCCAAAAATTATAGAATCCAATGGATTAATGTACATTTAGGCCAGGTGGGAATGCCTAGAGAGGGCAAATTTAACACTGGCCCTTGCAGCACTGTGGGTCTGTAGCATCATGTTGCAGTGCTTGGGTGCAGGATCTGGGGGCCCCTTGTAGGTGGAACTTTTGATGGGCCTTGACATCCCATCTGCTGTCATTCACATCGATGTCCTGTAGATGCAGCTTTGCCAGGTCAAGAAGTGACTACAGCCATGCAGATCTTCGCAGTAGAATACTGGCATTTACTTGCCTCTCACTAGAGGCCCTTTTCACCACACACCCAAAACCTCTCCCTCGAGCCCCTGTCCTTTGAGTGAGGGTCTATTTGAGCCTGGCAGCCGATAGCCCTGGGGCTGTGGTCTCCACCCCAAAGGTGTGAGGCTTAACACTCCTGTGAATGTATTCTTTTCCCCCAGGCCAGAATTGAGTCACTTTATCTTAATCTCCATCAACTTGCAGTCCAGGGCCTCAGTCTGAGGCTCATTGAGGGTGTGGTGGTCTTCCATGCAGCTTTTGTTATAAAGCTTTTCTGTAATAGGCAAAGGGCTTTCATAAAAATTCTTAAGCCATAAACATTTCAGTGCCTGACAGTATGACATACCCATTCCTTATCCTAATCCTGCATTAGAGGGAAATCTGTGAGTTGCACTCACAGACTCCACTCCACTCTGTGACAGAGTGAGCAATATATCCTGAAAGCTATTAAGAGGATAATATATTCCTTTTGCACATTGTTTTACTGAGAATTTGTAGCACTTCTAGATGGTATCACATAAATACTGATTGTTCTACTTAATTTTTTTTTTCTCTTTTCAACAGGGAAAAAAGAAATCTGCCATTTACTCCCATTCTGGCATCTGTTAATCGCCTTGTTTGTTACCACCTAGGAACTGTAGCAAAGGGGTCTTTTATTATCACACTAGTGAAGATACCCCGAATGATTCTTATGTATATTCACACACAACTCAAAGGAAAGGTAAGAGAACAAGATTCCATTTTCTTACCTAAACTCAAGGCTTGATATGCTTACCTGTTTATTTAGTCAATGTGGAAGGTTGGAAGTCTTGTTTTGGGATAGATCAGGGGTAAGAAGAAATTCTTCACTGTGAGGGTGGTGAGGCACTAGAACAGGTTAGCCCAAGAAGTTGTGGATATCCCATCCCTGGAAGTGTTCTGGGTCATATTGGATGAGGTTTAGAGCAACCTGGTGTAGTGAAAGGTGTCCCTGCCTGTGGTGTTGGGAGTTCCTTCCAACCCAAACCATCCTATTGTTTTATGAATATTTAGACTTACAGGACCATGGGACTGATACAGATATCTTAAGTTAGTAGGCTGAATATCAGTTACTGAAACACAAGGAAATATTGTCCATAAAAAGTCTTTATCTATGTTTTCCCACATTCTGTGCTTTTCTAGGAAAATGCTTGTGCTCGCTGTATGCTTAAAGCCTGCATTTGCTGCCTTTGGTGTCTAGAAAAGTGCCTGACATATTTAAATCAGGTAAGATTTTCCCTATTTAAGTTTTATGTAAGGGCTGATATTAGTATATATATTCCCAGAGTGCAATCTGATGCTGACACATAATGTACTGTACTTTGGAATTGAACTTGAATGACAATAGTTCAGTCTTCATTAATGAGATTACATTGAAAAATCACTACATTGGCCATTGGAAGATAAACAAGAACTATCTGAAATAAAGAACTAAAGATATATAATAAGAACTAAAAATATTCATCTTTGTGAGCAAGGTTTCTCAAGTTTACAACAATGTGTTTAGTGGTTAAAGACCTTCCCCTTTATGTCTATTCAATTGAACTACATCTGAGTTTCAAAATATTTTTGCTATGAAAAGAGAATTAAGCTTTTCTGTGTTTAATATTTAAGATTCTCACAGTGTAAAAATGATGCAAAACATCAAATTATCATCATCTACAAATGGAAAAAAGAGAAGTGAAGTACAACACACTAGGTGGTCCTTGTAAAAGACCCCTTGTAAAATCAGGCTTATGGGCCATAAATATCACATAAATAAATATATTGTACATAATATCTCTTTCACTGTTGTTCATTTTTTTGTTTGCAGAAATGTAGGGAAAAAAATCATAAGAAAGTATTTTAAACACCCCAGTGTAATCCTTGAAAACTGTTCTCACTAACCTTAAATCCAGTCCAGTTAAGTACTTAGAAATTATCTTGCTTGACTTGTATAACACTCAGATTATTTTATATTTTCAGATTTTTTTTTTTGGAACTATTTAATTTCTGTAGCTGTGCTACTGTTCACCTCCTCCTGCAGAGAAATTGTAAATTCTGTTTAATGAGTTTTTTTGAACAGACTTGTTAATGCATAAATTATGAGCAAGAGAGGAGAAGAATAGTAATTCTTTACCTCATATAATCTTCTGTCAGCTGGTTCATATTGCTTGATTCAACAACTCTCAAGGGAATTTTTGTTCATTAAAATCATATGAAGACTGTGTCTTACTCAGAAACTGTATCTTCCCCCTCACCTTCCCCACCCTCCATCTGAAATACCTGATCATTCTACGAATAAATCTTCAATCTCCTTTTCTCAGAATGCATATACAGCCACAGCTATCAACAGCACCAATTTCTGCACCTCAGCAAAGGATGCCTTTGTTATCCTAGTGGAAAATGCTTTGCGAGTGGCTGCCATAAACACAGTTGGGGATTTTATGCTGTTTCTAGGAAAGGTATGTCTGCTGCGTACAGCTGTTACAGACCTATGTAGAAGCAATCTTTCTTTAGCAATGGTTTGAACTCCAATTCAAAATGCCTTAAAAATCCTGTTTCTTAGTGTGCACTTTATCACATCTAGTTGCATCATATTAGGAAGGGACCATCCAGGACAGGGGGATAAACAGATGATCCACTTAAATTTACTAAAAGCGACTAGAGAGAAATAGCTGAAGTTGATGACACCTAGTACATTATTTTTTTAGGGAGTCAAGAGTAAAGTGATTAGAAAGTCTAAGGTTTTGATTTTGTGGTTAAGACACAGAATTGTAAGGAAATGAAGCTTTTCCTTTAAATTCTGTTTAGTATGGGCTCTTTAGGTTTATCTTGAAAATTGGACATATTTTTGATCACCTTTTATGACAAAATCAGACTGGAAGAGTACAGAAGCCTGCTATGAGGAACTGCCAGCTTAAGCAACTTAGTTCTACTCTGAGAATTAAAAGGAGACTAGAATAATTTCTGTGATCAGTCAACTTTTTGGGTTTCCAGATAATGGAGATATACTGTATGGAAATGTAATCCAGTGAATTACTTCTATCCTTTGAAGTGCCATAATTTACTGAAACAGTTAATACCAGTCTACTTAAATCATTTGTGCCTAAGTATCTGGGCACTGGTTGGACTGATCTTGATTCGTTATTGCATTCCTCCACTTCTGTTAAATCAGAGTACAGCGGGCTGAACTTTGAATCCAGTAACTGAGTAAGATCTGAGAAGGAATAAACTTATAAGGGAGATGGAGGTGCTTGGGAGAGCCTGAAATTATATAACAAATTTCTACTGAGGAATCTGAAAAGTGTTAGGAAACACCCCCCGAAAAGTGTCTCAGATTATTATAAAAATGTTTAGGTGACAGAAATGTTCAAATGAACGGTGCATATAAAAATAAGTATCAGCTGAAATAATGCTACACTATCGATATCTCCTTTAGCAGTTCACCATAGTGTTTTCATAAAAGCTGACCTATTTTATGTTTGTGTTTAGTTGCAGTTCATAATAATACATTCACAAATGTTCAAAAAGTTAAATGACAACACCAATTTAGTCTTTCTAGTTTTGCCAAAACCAGACTGGTACACAATGGAATTTCTGTTAGGGCCTTACTCATAGTTTAGTTCTGTAGAGACTCTTACATGGAATGCCTTATGTGAATTCTGATCTACTTTATTCTGTATGGAGAGGAAACAAATATTAAACAAGCTTGGGAGTTGTTTCTGCTAGCAAAATGAGAAACATACCATTCTCCTAATACCTAACTTCTCCCTTCACTCCAAATAAAAAAAAATCCAACTGCACATTAGTTAATGCATTGCATCTGGTTGTGGAGGTTATGAAATGGTCAGGATAAAATTCTTTTTTACAGGAATGTTGTATAACACTAGAATGATGACAGCAGAATATAAATGTAATTTTCTCTGAAAAATACTCTTTGTGCTGAAGGATGTGTAACAATTGACTTGAACCTGCTGAAAAATGAATTAAATGCCATTTATCTTCTGGGATGTGGGGAATCCAGGAGGTAAAGATCTTGTTACCTACCATCTATAACCTCTAGTTCTAAGCCTGGCAGACAAAAAAGCATATTGCCTTAAAACAAACAAACCAACCAAAAAATATTGAAAGGCTTCTGCCATTAGAGTTGTCTACCATTTTCTTCTTCAGGTCCTGATTGTCTGCAGCACAGGTTTGGCTGGCATTATGTTGCTGAATTACCAACGAGATTACACCGTCTGGGTGCTGCCACTCATCATTGTCTGCCTCTTTGCATTCCTGGTTGCTCACTGCTTCCTTTCCATTTATGAAATGGTTGTTGATGTCCTTTTCTTATGTTTTGCCATCGATACAAAATACAATGATGGGAGCCCTGGCAGGGAATTCTACATGGATAAAGTTCTCATGGTAAGTTTGCCCTTACTGTCAGAGTCTAAGGATCTAGTTCCATTAAATAGGTATTTTGACAATGGAATCAATGCACTAGCTGAGTACAATATTTTGGCTGGCCTTTTTTTTTTACCTTGCCATCTTGTTTGTGGCTAGATAAGGAAACAGTGTCATCTGATAAGCATCGAATAAGTAATGATGCTTCCTTCCCATGGTATTTGCTTCTATTTGCTAGCTGTTACATGAGCAGAGATCTTGCAGAATCATACTCTTGGATATCACGTCTTGTAAGTGACACAGTGCAGAATAGAAAGAAATAAAACGAAGAGAAAACTTGGGTTTTGGACTTTTCCCAAGGAGGACCTCTCTTTGGATATGAGAGAGAAAAAATATCCTCACCTCATGCATAGATAGTGACCACATAGTTTTCATATAGACATCAGAATTTGACTCTGTCACACACAGAAATGCCAGGCTTTATTTCTGTCCTGGAGCCTACGTGCTTTGTCAAGGCATTTCGTAAGACAAATTCATTTTGTCCATTTTTATTGCATGTTATTCTCTGTTCACTGTAACTAGAAACCAAGATAAAAAAATTCTGCTTCTCAAGTCCCTCACTTTGATGTTGTGTAGGAAATTTCTTGAGACAGTGTTTTTAAGTGGCAGGTGTAGAATGTATCTCTGTAAAATGTACCCTCATATGTAGGCTAGAGGAAGATTCTCATAACTACTTAGCATATTTTATTTTATTATTATTATTATTGTGGGAAAACCATGCCAAAAATTTAGTGGTACATTTTTTGTAGACCTTTATGGAAACAACATTATATAATAAATAAATGAGCCTCTGATTAGTTGCTTTTTAACAGAGTAAGAGTAAAATGCAGAGCAAGTTCTTTCAGAAGAAAGCACTGATAAACTGTAAAAGCATTGTGGATTTCTTTAGTCAGCAGTCAATATCACAAAACCCCAGAACCCCAGAGTTCTTATCTTTAAGAGAAAAAAAAATTGTGTAAAATTTTGTAACACATTTTCTAATCTTCATGAAAAGGAGATTGTGATTTGGTGAAAAATATAAGAGGTTGAATTGAAGACAGGGAAATCAGCCAAACCTTCCAAGTGATAATCTTAAAGTCCTTTTGTTTAATGGAGTTCTAACATTATGCACAGGATATAAGGCAATAAATGAGATTCTGGTTTTTGTTGCTGTGGGTTTTTGATTTTTTTTTATTATGGGGGATTTTTCAGGGGGTTTGGGTGGTTTGTTGGTTTGGTGGGGTTTTTGTGGGGTTTTTTTTGCTTTTTTTTGTTTTGTTTGTGGTGGGCATTGTTTGTTTGTTTTTGCTTGTTTATTTGGGTTTTTGCCTTTTTTTGTTTTTGAAAATCAGCCTTTTACCTTCTTTCCCCATAAAGGAGAGCATTGCGTGGTAAATGTGAAAGTTGTAAGAGCACACAAGGCAAACATCTGTCTGGCTTCCAGAATTAAGTGAGGGAGACCTTTGTGGTTATTTGGCAGATTTTTTTGATACCTTGTGGTCAAGTCTAAGCAAGAGAAGCGGCAGATGCAAATTGCCTAGATATTTTGAGTAGTTACATCTTAAAATTCTGATTTAAGATGAGACTGAGATTTAATGTTTGGAATCTGCTCTATGGAAGCACTTGTCATTTTATTACTGTTTTTCAGGAGTTTGTGGAGAATAGTAGGAAATCTATGAAAGAAGCTGGCCGGGGAGGTGGAGCTGAGGGCAGAGAGCTAAAACCAATGGTAGGTGCAGATGAGGAGGTGGAGATCCTCCAAGAGTTTCACTTTTACTTCTTCTCCCTCTTTGTCTTTACTGACTGCACTTCTTCAGGAGAAGTTTTTGTTCTCTGTATCACTCAAGATGTTCTGCTTTTTCTGTTTGTGAGCTTGCCTATCACCTGGATGGCAGAGTTTTTGTCACAGCTGAGACCATCTCCTGTAAAAGTAAGATGAAAGGAACTGTCTCATATGAAACAAATGCAGTATCATTTCATTAGGATTAGTGGTGCATGCCATGTGGTATACACAGACAGCCCCAATTGCTGAATAGTCTAAAAATAAGATGGCTCTGAGATTCATTGGGCTCTTCTCAGCCCTGAGATGAACAATTTTTGCTCATCTTACATTCACTGCAAAAGCCTGAAATAAAGAACTGCGTGCATCCATTGTTTCAAAGACCAGGTATTTAAAGCCCTCACCAAATTATCTTACACAGGAATTAGATACAGTGATTCCTTTCAACCTGCTCAAATGACATTTCTCCCAGTTGTTTGTTTTATTGCCAACTACTTATGTTGCTTGTCTCTTGTGTGCTCTTTCCATCTCACACTGTCAGATGCACAGACAGTGAACAATACATCATTTATGCTTCTGCAGCCTGTTTTACTTATGGTGTGCCTGTTAGGAAGGCATTGCATGTCTGAGTAGCCTGGAATAAGAACACTATACATGGTACAGATAACAGATAGGAGGATAAGTTTGGAAGGTGGAGAACAGAGAGCATATAACAGAAAGCCAGGCTGGGCAAGGTATGATTTGTCATTGTACATTATGACTTTGTAAAATAGAATATTCTTCCATCATTGCTTTATTAGAGCGTTTGGGGTCTTACTCATTTCCGTACGATCATTTTTTAACCAAATGGACTCTAAATAAGTGTATACTAACAGAAGAATTTCTTTTTTAAACAATGTATGTGAAGCTGTGTTGCATGAGCATTTTTTGACTAAGCTGGAATGGGTTCCTGCAATAGACTGGAGAGATGTGTAGCTTTGCGTGTCTTGCTATTTCATTATGGCATACCAGTTTCTAGATTTGCTTATGCCTAAATGCTGCTGTGTTTATACATACAAAAAAACTAATTCTATGCTCATTTTACTGTTTTCCTCTGGGAGTAATTCTAGCCGGTCACGCAGACACTAATGTTGGGATTTTCAAAGTGACCTAGTTGCTATAAATACAAATGTGCTATGAAAATGATTGAGAATTGTGTGTGCAAAATCTCTAGTTATATGCACAAAAAAATCAGTTCAAAATTTTATATTAAACTCTGTTTCAAATAATTGGTTTACCAATTAAGTGATTTTCCACTTGTGCTGTTGTCAGAGCTGGCACAGACTGCTACTTACACTTTTATACTTGGCTGTCTAAAGCTTGGATGCTAAAAAACTTTATTCACCTCCACCCCTTGTAAAAGTGTAAACCAAATACTTGCAAACCAAGGGTGGTCTTCTTAGAGGAAATATTTTCTAGGCTCTTAGCCTGGTACTGGCTGAAAGTCCTCATAGGATGGCTGGAGAAAATGCTGAGCACTTGAGGCACAGAGTGGAAGTCACCTGCTGAAATACTCCCAATTCTGCTGCTCATGTGATTGTCTTGTTTGGAACTGTTTGGGGCTTGTGGTTGTCCATTTTTGGGAATTCAGCTCCAGCTGATTTGATTTTGAAATACTAGGATCTCACTTCCTTTGACAATGGGACACAGCAGTTAAATTTCTGATATCTTTCCCCAAAGTACTGATAGAGGGCCTCAGTTTTATCTAGAATAGGATCATTCATAAGTCCATTAAGTAACAGTAGTGCCCATAGCCACAAAATTGCATGTCTGAAGATTAGATCAATATTACTTTTTTCTCTTCTTTTAAAAACAGACTATTTATTGGTTTCCTTCAGTTTCCTGAAGGAAATAAGAAATAAGATATTTCTTAGATATGACAATTATTTCTTAAAGTGATATGCCCTAAGTGCAGTTGTATTTAAAGTAGATATTAGTAGCAGAGATGAGGAAACACTTTAGAAAGTTCTTTTCTTGTGTCAGGGCACAACAAAAAGCCCCACCTTTTTATGCTTCTTTCTTTATGACTTCCAGTGACCCTTTTGACTCAGTTTCTCCTTGTCCTTTGGTATCTGTCTAAGACTGTACTGTATGACTTTGTTTTCTAGGCCTCTGGAGCAAGTTCATCTTGAAACTAGCCAGCCATATTGGAACCCATTGACATTCCAAAACAGTATATATATACATATATACATACATACATATATATATATATATATTTAAATAAACAGCCAAAATCAGAGAAAAGGAACAGGGATTTAAAACTTTTTTTAACAATTATTTTTGTGAAACATGTACTCTTTTCATACGGGTGGCTTTTACAAGCAGTTTTATCATTGTTCCATTTCTTAAATTATTTGTTGTGGTCATGGAAATGTTGATTCTTATCTGCTTGATATTTTAAAATCTGGAGGAAGTATCATTGTAAAAATAATCTGAAATCATGACTGGGTTTAGAGACAGATTTCCCATGACACTGCTAATCTGCTGAGAGTTTTACTTGTTTAATTTCTTTTAAATTTGCATTAAATTCGGGACAGTGACACACATGTACAGAAAACCTTAAAATCAAGAAAAGTCTCAAATTTATTTTTTCAAGAGGTGGTTTTAGCAAAAATTCATTCAGTTCAAATGTGTTTGTAAGCAGTTACTTTACCGCCCTGGCAGGGCACAGTTTTGTTTACCAGTATCAGATATCACAATAACCAACTCCTCAGGTATTTAGGTGTGTGGGAGCCCTTGCATCTCCTATTAAACAGAACCTACAAAATGGGGACAGATAATTTTTATATGCAATTAACTTCCTGCCTACCCTATTTTTACCCCTCATACCCATTGCCCTCTATCCTTCCCTTGAGTTCAGTAGCCTCCTTCACACTTCAGCAGTGTTCCTTTGAAGGGTATGGATTCTCCATACGGGCAAGTGAAATAACAGATTGTTAAAGCTCAGTCTTAGCCATACTCATGATTAATTCATGACTAGATTCAGAGATGCTGAGGATGGGAAGAGAAATGAATTGTACTGCTGTACATAAAAAAGTACTGTATGCTTCATTTCATCTAATGAGAGAGCTCTGGGAGGTATAAGGGATCATTCCTTGCCTGTTGTTTGATTCATATCTGTACATACTGTAGTGGGTGGCTAAAGCCAGAAAGGGCAGAGAAACATTCCTTTGGAAGTGTAGCTGCCAGGATAGTTATCTGAAGTTATTAAATAATGACAAGAGAACATGCTTTTTTATTATTATTAGATACATAAATATCTTTGAAGTCTGGAAGCTCACCAGATATGAATGCTAATATTCAATTATTCAGCATAGTGAAATGGTAAATGCTTAACTGTATTTGCTAAGAATTAATGATCTGTCTATGCTATATATTCCTTTTGTTAACATTTTTTTAAGAAGACTATTTTTGTTATTGTAAAGTTAATATTTCAGAGCAGAATTTTTAAACTTATTGCACTAAATACAAGCTGTCTACAAATAATGATGCCTCAATGGTTCAATCACTCCACTCCAGAAAATCTCTTGAAAGAGTAAGAGCCTTTCTACAGAAGCTTTATGATGGAGTACAGAGGTATGTCTAAGTAAAGACATGCACAACGTATGTAATCAAGGTTTAGTAAGTAAGCAGTTTAACTGTGCTTCCTTTCAGACTATCAGATTTTTTAATTGTTGCTGAAGGTTTTAAAAATTATGTAGTATCATTTAGCTAACTAGTGCTCTTATCTTTTTGGCAATAGTAAAATGTTTCACTTTTGCTTCCAGAAGTCATTTGATAATTTGAATTTGTTACTTTTTTTTTTTTTTCTGTAAGCCAGTTAAAACAAATTCATATTACAGATCCCAAACTATTTGAAAGGTAGAAAAATCAAGATTCTTTTAGAAAGGATAGCTTTTAGGGAGGCAAAGAGAATTGAATTATCCAGTCCTGGAAGCACTTACTCATTTAAGTGAACCATATCTGTAACTCAGCTAGCATCAGGAGGACTGTCTAAATATGGAGATTGTAACATACACATCTGTGTAAGTGCTGACTGGACTAGAGATTCAGCCTGGGGATTCAAACTGGAACACAGGTGAACTGGAACATCTCAGTGCAAGTTAGAGGTCAGACTTGCCCAGAAGAAACACTGGAGCAGCCTTACTTTTGTGAAGAGACATTCCTGCAATACTAGTGTCTAAGATAGCAGTGGTACTCAACACCGGTATTGGTGTAGATCAGAGGGGTTTAGCAACACAAATTTTAAAACTGGCTTAGATGAATCCTAGAAACTTCAAGGCTAAAAGACTTCTCAAGTACCCAGTTGCTTCCAGAGAATCTAGTTTGCATCTTGTTTGGAGGTTATTGGAAGTGCTTAATCAAAGAAGCCTTGTATTCTGCTCATTTTGATAAAAAATTTCTGCCATGACTGGTTCCACAAGTTTGTGTTCTTTGCTCACTAGAAATCCTGAGTGGGAACTGTTCTCTGTAATTGCAACTAGGACTGCAGTTGGTAACAAATTTTGTATTTTTGTATGACTTGACTGTGCACCATTTTTATAGCAGTTTATCCTGTCTTAAAAATAAATTTGTTTATTTACATGGTGTTTAAAAGATACAGGCAACACTTTTCTATGGGTAGTTGTAATGTTTAAGCGACAAATCTATATCATTACAAAGTTCTTAATAAAAACATGTGCATCATTCTTGAGTGTATATCCAGCATGCAGAGCTTTTCAGTCCTGCCAAAAAAGGCATTCTATCCACACACAGGTTTTTCAATGGCCCTTTAAAGCTTTGAAATGTCCTTTGAAGTTCATTTGCAACCAAACTACCCTCTTCCAGCTCTGTCTTGTGCACAGAGATAAGCAGAAGACAGAATTCTGAAAAGACAACTTTTCAGGACAAATTTAGACTGCTTTCCTTTCTTAGTGGGGATAGTGGAGTGGGAGGACATTTTGGCATGTAAATCCCATACATAATTTTTGGCAGTAAGGTTGCTGGGGTCTGCCAGCTGTGATGGATTAAATACTTTTTTTGACTGTTGGTTATTAAAGCCAGTGTATGGTCTGCTTTGTGGGAAGCAGTCTAGACTAAGTAGAGAGAGATGCTGCACTGAGAATAACAATGCAGGAGGAGCAGACAAGACAGCTAAAACAGAGAAATCATCTCCTCAGAATGTCCATTGAATTGAGTAGTGCTCAAAGACTGGAGATTTAGGCTGATTTAGAAACAATCATTGGGATTACTGCATCCCAGCATTTGTTTTCTGCATCATAGCCTCTGACCAGCTAGGTTTGAAACAGAAAAAAGCATACCATTCCTACCATTCCTTAAATTTTTAAATATTTTTCCACATTACTTTTTCTGTTTGGAAGTTGAACAGCACCATGTCATCTTTCCTGCTTCTTCCAGCCCTGGAGAATGATTGTTTTTGTTCTTTTGGGTCTCACTTCATACTGCTCTCTGAGTAAAGGAATGGCAAGTGGCAGTGTCTGCTCCCCTTTGTCCCTTATCTTACTATGTTCCCTTTTACCTTCCAGAGGCAATGATTCAGGATATCACCAGGACTGAATGAGAGGGAGAGTAGGCACTAAGCTAAAGTTCTGAGGTAGGATTTTTGTTTTGGTTTTTTTTTTGCTTTTGTTTTGGTTTTTTTGTTTTTGTTTTGGTTTTTTTTTTTGGTCTGGTAGTACTCCATCCCTGTGGTTAGAAGTGGAACCAATCACTTCTAGAGTTTCACATCAGCCCCACAGCTGGACTTAACACATAGGATGGCAAGCTTAGATTTGCATGTTCAGCTTTCCACTAGCTCCCAGCTGCCAGAACCAGGACATGCTTCTAAATGTGGCCTTAGATTGGCATAGTAAATGAAAGACTTTCTGCACTGGTAAAGTGTGTCCTAGAAAGGAGAACTAACCGTGGAATATGCAGTTAAATGTTGTGGTTGGTTGACCACGCTGTCACATACACTGCTACTCTGTTGCTTGCTCAGTCCCTGCAGCAGGATGGGAGAGTGCAGTGAAAGGACAAAAACATTGATACAAGTGCAGTTCATTAAGCAAATATGGGGAAAAAATATATAACGAAGGCAATCATTTACCAGCAGACCAATGCCCAGCCAATCTCCAAGCAGCAGCTGCTTCGGAACCACACCCACTCCAGTTTAATTGCTACGTGTTAAATTATATGGTGTGGAATATTTCTTAAGTCTGTTCAGGTCAGCTGTCCTGGCTGTATGCCCTCTCATCTTTTTGCCCAACCCCAAACGACTGCTGGGGGTCCTATAGTAGAAAATAGAGAGGGCCTTGACCCTGTGCGAGCACTGCTCAGCAGCAGGTAAAGCTTTGTGTTAGCAACACTGTTTTGGTTGCAGATCTTAAACACAGCACCTTGCAGGTTGCTGAAAAGAAAATTAACTCTATCCAGCCTAACCCAGTACACAGGTCCACTTACCCAATAATTAATCCAAGACTTGCTCCCTGCATTTCTGTACAGCATCTTCTCAGGGTGGTTACTTCTTTCTGAAAGGGCTTTTTTAGCAGTAGGCAATTAGCCTGCTCCACGGTGCTCCCTTTCATGGAGGGAGCAGGGGATGTTAGCTCTTACTCTTTCAGCACATAATGGGGATATAAAGCAAAAATGAGCCCTTTCTGTATCAGTGTTCTGGCAATTGAGCAGCCAGTGCTGGAGACAATATATTTAATGTGCCCTCAGGGCATGCACTTTAGTGGTTTGCTCTGAGTGGTTATGATGTATTCTATGAATGTATGTTATAGAGTCAGAATAAAATGCATGTAGCAAACATATACTCATCTTACCATCTAGTGAGCATTTAGTTCAGAGTGCATATTACATGCTATATTGAATATGGCACTGTCGTTTTAAGAAACAGTCTTAAGATTTATAAGTAGATACCTAATAGCATTCCTGTTTTTTTAAATCATGGCTTGGTCTGTACAGACACTGTTTACTAAATCTAAATATCACTAGCCTATTGTTTCTTGAACAGCTTGAACTGTTATTAACACAGAAATTCTATTTCATCTTTGTGAAAAAAAACAATAAAACAACCCTTGTGTTTCCCAACTCAAAACCCAACAGGCTTATTTGAAGCATTTCTTGCACTCAGCTTCGTTGTTGGGATGATGAAAGTTTACTCTAAATATTTAATTTTCAAATGCTCTTCCAACTGTTTCATCTATGCTGTTATTTCCATCATGTAACAAGATTATGGAGACTAGTAAATCTGCATATCTTGTGTTCCATAGCAAATACTGTTCTCAAGGTATTTTTTTTCTGTTATATTTAAAGAGATGAGAGAAGAGATGAAACTCATCTCTTATGATGTGGGTCATGTATAAAAGACAAAATTTCTGGTCTGAGATGGAGCTGTGATGGGTCTTGCAATCTGATACAATCAAGCCAAAGCTCCTCAGAGACCAGGATTATAAAAATATTTCTAAGGAGAATTGGTAGCATGAATCGATCTGAAAATACCTATTTGGAGGCTAAGCTATCTGGCATTCTTTTGGCAGCCATCTGTTAAAATGGAACTAGCAGAAAACCAGCAAACTCCCATCAGATTCTACTCCCTGTCTCACTGAGGTCAAGGTGTCATATTTGAATGTGATGAGCAGAATTTGGTGTTACAAGTGTTTGGTACTTTACTACAGATACATGGGACTCCCCTTAGAATCAAAGTTCCAAGAATTCAGAGTAAAAGTATCTGCTGACTTTAACAGAATTAACCTAATCTTAGTAATGTTAAAGGCAGCTATGGCCTCTCTAACTATGTGATTTATAAGTAGATACCTAACAGCATTCCTGTTTTATGCCGGCAGCATGTGTGGCTACCATTCCTTAAGTGTGCCATCTCTCCTCTCTGGATTGAGTGGAAATAGGGGCAGCTTATTTAAAAAAGGTTTGGTAAAATTAGTAAGCTGACTATTTATGAAACCCAGCAGAAGTTGTGCTGACTGGAGTTCCTGCTATAATGATGTTTTTTAACTCTCAAATACCATGTGTCCTCCATGTTAGTATTAGTTGGGTCCCTCCCTGCTGTTCAGACTGAAATGGGAGAATATCTCTTTTGAAAAACAGTACCACAGACAATTTCATAGTGTCTCCTAGGGGAGTGAGGTAAGAGAAAACAGAAAGGTGGTTTTGTTTCTAATGTAGGCCAGAAAGCAGCTGCCAGAAGTTAGGTGGAGCCATGGAGAGCAGATAGAAAATATTCTGCAGGATCTTCATAGTAGTTAAGAAAATTCACATTCTAATTCAGACATCTCTCAGCAACATCTCCTGTGTCCCACCTGAATTTTACTCTGGAGCTCTTCAGACCAAAATGAAGGTGGAATACTATACCTATACAAAAGAATTATTTCTATATAATTAATTGTGTTGCTGATTACAGAAACTACCCTAAGGAAAAAGGAAAATCTTCTGAACAGATTTTAAAGGCTTGACAGTACTTGCATTGTCATAGTCCATCAAAGCTTCATCTGGAAATGAATTTTTCATCCATCCTACTCATACTTCTAACAGGGCAATCAAACCCTTGGACTGGCTTAGTGATTTACATTGAATCAAGATCAACTAACAAGTGCTCCTTTTTCCAGTGGAATGCCACCTCCTTTGAGAATGGGAAAAGTAAATGTGACACTGTTTATTGTTGTCTTGAAAACTTAAACAATTTTATACTGCAAGCTGTGAATGCAGGAAGAGAAAAGAAATTAACAGTGCTGATCTAATCTTAGATTTTCTGTGTAAACTGACATTGTGCCAGGATACTGATGCAAAACTGTATTTTAGTCTAAGAAATGTATAGATTTTTTTAATGTATCAAAATAAAGTTTTCCTTTTAAGTAAGAAAGAAATTCTTGTATCTTCCATGTGGTGTGCGTAAGCCATACTCTTATTAGCAATACAATCTCATGTTCCTGAGAAGCAAGCCAAATTTTTGCTGAAGTTTTACTTTACTTTTGTGCCTGCTCTTAAGCTGAGTAGCTCTAGTAACATCGGACATACTGTCGTGGTTCCAGAAAAGCATTCTGATGCTAATGTTTTCTGAGATGAGCATGTGAATGAGGTTTGGTGGAGCAGAGGCAGAATATTTTTGCTTTCTTCTCAGTGATACTTAGTGATCCTCCCTCTCACTGATCCTCTCACATCTGCTCCTCAGCTTTTCTCCAGAGTGTTGAAAACTGTCCCTTTAGGCTAACAGTTTCACCCATCACCACATTCCTCAGCCTCTCTGATAGGTTACAGGGTTTGCTGAAGGTCAGTCACATACAGAAGCAGTTGGAAAGTTCTACACTGTAAAAGATGAGGTTGTGGTCACACATGCAGAAGAGTCCTTGCTAATACCCAGGAAGCAGGACTCAGCATTCATAAGGCTACCTGGAGCATACTGGCTTATAAAATGCTTGGCCTTACCAGGACAACTGTGGGGCAGTGAACAGTAGGGAAGCATGAAGGAGGTCTTGTTATGCATTATGAGTCATGCAAGCTGCATATCCCAGCATATCCCAGCACAGCACCTGTTGTGGCACCCCTTCTTTGTTCTTCAAGGACCTGTACACACTCCCCATTCTGCAGAGCTGTTGTAACAGCTTGAATGTCTAAACATGGATGGTGAGTAGAAGCAATAACAGAGACACATACAGTCACAAAGATTTCTTCCCCTCTTTTCTCTATCCCATAGGTGCAGCGTATTTCTGCTTTTGGTGACATTTTTTATACAATAATACACTAAAGCACTAATAAGCCAAGCTGAAACGTGTCTTCTGCTTCTGTTGTTCTTTACTGCAAACCACGTCAGCACTGTATTTGCTTAGGATGGTGTACTTTATCTAGAAACTACTGCTACTTCTGAAATGGAGACTGATGCTGTTGAGGCTAATAAGTCAATACCACTGGAGGAAAAGGACTGGACAGCCCATCAGGCAGGACCTGTGCACACAGGCAGGGTCTATGCTGAGGACCCAAAGTGTTCTGTTGCATGTCGGTGTTCTGCAGTTCCACTGAAGTTACGTCCCCTTGGCTTGGAGTGTCTATTTCATGGTTTATTAACAGTGAAGCTGCATGGCTATATGGGCTTAGTTGCACAGAGCAAAAGAGGCTCCAGAGATTCCTTCATCAGTAGAAGTGTTATGGACAGGAGGCATGAAACACAGGTTGTATAAACCCTGTCTAGTTTCCACTGTATTTTGCCTGTGTCAGAACTGCAGAACAGGAGCTCTTCAGCTTTCTTTGCCCTCTCAAGCAGTGAGGGACTGAAGCACTGTCTGCAGAGGTAAGTGCTCTGAAATAAGAGTTTCATGACTTCCAGGTGGGCTGCAGAAGGCTAGTGAGAGAAGCATATGCAGGGAGAGCAGAATGGGACATGGGACTTGAAAGGAAAATTTCTGGTTACTGTGGTGGAATGTGGAAGAAAACCCTGTTCTGCTTTTAGCAGGGACCTGAAGACAGAGGACTGGAGCTGCAGAAGCAGGATTTTTCCTTCAATTACGCAGCATTTCCCACTGCCAAGACATTCTTCATGCAGTGGGCATGTACCTCTGACCACTCAGACTTGGGACTCAGCCCCTGGCAATGGCAATTGCAGAACAGCACAGGCACATGCCTTTTTCTGATCCCTGCTCCCTGAAAAGTCCTGCTGTCCCACTGGAGATGAAGGGCCAGTCTCCTTGCTAGCAACACAGCACATCTCCTTGGCCACTGAAGAAGCTCTCCTGCCACATGTAGAGGATGGGACATTCTGTATGCAGTATTTAGTATGCAGCAAACAGCCTCCTTCTCTAAGCCAGGGAGCCCAGATCTGTGCTGCTGGAGTTTGGCACGGCTCCTTCCCTCCACTGTGGGTCACTGACCCAGTTTTAGTCACTGGTATTAAGATGTTTAGTGAAGATTAGCTAGTACCCAGGGAGCAATTATTTATAATTTCTAATTACTGTTTAAATTATGAATGTGTGAAATGGATGGAGCTTGCACTCTTGTACACAGAAGACCTAAAAAGTCTGTTTTTCTGAGACCTACTGCCATAATCTTCATCTAGTGCTCATTCTTATTTACCTTAGATACACTAAA